TGTGAATGGGCCAATTAAAATTCAATCCCTGCTTTATGAAAGGAAAAAGAGAGGGTGGCCCTTAGTAAGTCACCCTGAGAACCAGCCTCTTGGAAATCAGCACAGGCTTAGAAATGCCAGATTTCTCGTTTGTGGGCAGGAGGGGGAGGGAATCAAAGAAAATTACTGGTTGATAAGATGCATCAAACTGAAATCAGGGTCATCTTAAGGATCTTCTTCAAAAAAAACCCCATGCCTTTATCCACATGTGAAAATGCCACTGTTTGCCAAAGTATGTGTTAACTGCCTCAAACTTCCAACCGTTTGTGGGTGTTGAAGCAGTAGTCCTGTAATATCTTACCCAGGCTTCCTAAGGCACGCTGTCCTGAGAACACTAAGCAAGCAGCTGGGGACAGAATAACTGAACAAGGGAATACAAAGTACCTTGCTGCCCAACTAAGAGGGAATTAGAGGGGCCAACTCTGAGCTTCTATCATCCATTCCATCCATTCACCTTGATTTTCTTTACAGAGCATGTAATCTATCACCATGTATGGGTAAATGCTTACTAACAGACCGCATAGTTATTTTGCTTAATAATAGACTACATGGTCATTTTGCTTAATAACAAACTGCATGGTTATTTTAAGGGTGGTGTTAACTGTGATAGAAGGTGAGGAAGGAATAAAAGGTTTCTGGAGTAAACCACTGGCTTGGACATCTCAAGGAGAAAGCCAGAACATTTTGTCTCCTTAACCATTCACTGAACTACCCTAACCTGAGGCTTGATATTTTAGGGAGAAGATTCTACCATGATAAGTTAGATTATAGAATTCTTATCGATAATAAGAAAAAGAGAGAATTTATCTCATAAGAGAGGATTCAGGAATCTAAGTAGGAAAGGCAAGACAGGGTTAGATCTGTGAGAATACTAAACCAAGCGACTTGGGTGTTTGGCTGGCCCCTGAATACACCTGGGAAGAGGGATCTTCGCCCTTTTGCTCTTTCCTTGTTTTTATAAACAAGTGAGAAAATACTTTCTGGCTATTTTATAAATAGAGAAGGAGCTCTGTGTGTGGCCCATGGGGCCTGGATCTGGTTCCTTAGGAAATCCCAGCAGTTCCCAGCCCCAGGATCAGCGTCTCAGCCTCCGTGTCGTGTCCACTTGAACCTTTCGCCCCAGCCCTTGTCAGATATCTAAGACAGCAACACACAGGTGCTCACAGGTAGGAACAGGAAATCAGCACCTCATCCCTATCCATGTTTCAAAACAAGTTAGAACAGAGCCATCCTGAAAGAGCTCCAAGTGGCCCAAACTGGAACCATCTGAGCAACAAAATAAATAACAGTAGTATTAGATCATAACCCACGGGATAAAATAAAATATGGAGCTGGGCGGGATGGCGCACGCCTGTAATCCCAGCGGCTCAGGAGGCTGAGGAGGAAGGATTGCGAGTTCAAAGCCAGCCTCAGCAAAAAGCAAGATGCCAAACAACTCAGTGAGACTTTATCTCTAAAACACAAAATAGGGCTGGGGATGTAGCTCAGTGGTGGTGTGCCCCCGAGTTCAATCCCTGGTACCAAATAAATAAATAAATAAATATGGAGTCTTTACTGATAAAAATTAGTGGTTGAATAAATATATTAATGAGACAGAAGGAACAGTTCTTCCTTACAGAAGAATTAGAATTAATAAATGTAGAAGGAATGAAGGAAGTACAGAACCATTTTTAGAATATGACATTAATAGTTACCATCGACAATACCAACAGATGCTAAAATTAGCAGAGAAAGTTTGAGGGGCAACAACCATTTGGATAATCTCAAAATGATCTCTCCCAACACAAAGGAATTAACTGCAAAGGAATAAACAGCAGCCTCAGAGTGGAGAAACGTAGCAGACTTCACCATAACCAAATGATCGAGGTCAGCATCAGCAGTAATGAAGCACGACCATCACATGACCCCTAGTGTGCTACACTACGACACAATATCACCTCTGTGGTCGTCCTGCCTCAAATGTCCCGTCTCACTGTGAGAAAACATCAGATGCCTCCCAACTGAAGGCATTCTCCAAAATAACTGGCCAGTTCTCTTTTTAAAAAAATGGCAACGTCATAAAAACCACAGAAAGACTGAGGAAATAGCACAGATCCGAGGAGACTAAGGAAACACGACAAATGCAATGTACAATCCTAAAATAAAAAGGACATTCATGGAAAACAATGGTCAAGTTTAAATAAAGTCTGTAATTTCTGAAGCCCTGAGGCCTGTAGTATTACCAATGACCAATGCTTACTTCTTAGTTTGGGCATTTGTACTAACTTTATAAAAGATGTTAACATTAGGGAAAGCTGAGTGGTAGGTGCCGGGAAATCTCTACACTATTTTTACAGCTTTGCTGTGAATCTAAAATGATTTCAAAATAAAAAGTAAAAAAGAAAGCAAACAGAATTTACAATCTAAATGTAACTGGATGAGAATATCTCCAATTTCCAAGTTCAGTCACACATTTATAGTTGAATAAATAAATGAGAGAGAAGGGACAGTTCTTCCTTACAGAAGAATTTCAATTAATAAATGCAGAAGGAATGAAGGAAGTACAGAATCATTTTTAGAACACTGCAGTAATAGCTGCCACCAACAATCTCAATACTTGGGTTGCAGCCCCTGCGGGATAGGAAAGTTACAGAGTGGACTATTATAATAGCTTACAATTCACCAGCAGTTGTGGAGATAAAACACATAAAAATTCCCAGGATATAAACAGAATAAAATCTGAGCCTACAGAATCTGAGCAGGAGTGATGGATGCAGCATTTAACTCAGGGCTTTTTAAAAGGGGAAATGCTTGTCCATCTGCACCATGTTCTTCTTTTATATAGAAGGCACTGTTGCCCAGCTTTGAGCATGCTGATGATTTTAAAGACATTGTGGTGTGTGTGTGTGTGTGTGTGTGTGTGTGTGTGTTAAGAATACCAAACAGATTCATATTTCAGTTCATGTGTTTCATTCAACTTTGAGTATTTTAACTGTTTCAAGCACATAGGTCTGTGTGGTTCGTGCTATTAACATTCAGGCAGTCTCTGCCCTTCTGCCTCCCCAGTCTTGGCTAATGGCCCTACAAATAGCCCAAGTGCCCCACAGCAGAAACCAGGCATTCACTCTGTAAGTATGTTTCTCTTTCCCCTATTTTCATCTGCTATTGATTCTGCCTCTTGTTTTTTTTTTTTTTCTCAAATCTATCTCATCCCTTGTGCCATTACCCCTGGTTTGGTTCAGGGTCTTGATTAGAACCAATCAGAGTTAGAGGAATAACTTCCTACTACAACTTTCTGACCTTGAATACTTTGGCACTGACTCTAGATTAACCCACACAGTTCAGTGGACTCCTTCTGAGGAAGAGGTTTGATTCTCTGCCCTTTGAAGATGCTAGGAGACTAAAGGGAACAGGAATAACCTTGGAGCTTCTGCTTCTTCAGGTTGTCCCCAGGAGAAACCTGCCAGCTGGCTCTCCCTGTGAGTCTCATCCCATTCCTGGCCTAACTCTTGGTCCACCAGATAGCTAGTTTCTGGAGACCAATCGCATGTTGAAAACACCTTTGAATTTTTTTTTTCTTTGAGTGAAATATTATAAAGAAACTTAATGTAAACACCAGATACAGGGCTTTATTATATAAAATATAACAAATACTTAGATGTATGTTTGCAAATCCTAAACATACAGTCCAAATATGCAAGTTTGGATTGGAATACATCTAATTTTATACTGTTTACTTGTTGATAATGCAAGTCACCATGTCTATATGCAATAACTCCCCTAACTGAAATGAGGATTACTGATAACAATGATAACCATTATGACATGCCCATCTTAAGGGCTCTAGGTGTATCAGCATTTCAATCCTTTTGGCAACCCTAGGAGGTAGATCAGTTGTTAAGCTCTCCTACAGACTGGAAACAGAGAACACTTAAATAATGTGCCTGTGGTTACATAGTAAGTGGGAGAAATGGGATTTGAATTCTAGATAGAGAAATTGCAAGTTCCATCTTATTCCCTGTATTATACTGTCTTTCAAGCTGGTGCTCACATCTGTGACAATGAGAATTATACTGGTAATGATGACTTCATGCTATCATTTGGATGTTTGAATGTGCCCCTAAGGTCCATGTGTTAAAAGCTTGGTCCCTGGGGTGATGCTACTGGGAGGTGGTGGAACCTTTAGAGGGAGGTCCTTACATCACTGCAGGGTGTGCCCTTGAAGGGGATCATGGGACCCTAGTCTCATGCAATTCCACTTGGCTTCCTGGCCACCAGGTGAGTAGTTTGCTCTACCATTTGCTCCCTTCTTATGCAATCTGGCATCTCCACCCGAGGCCTAAAAGCAATGGATCCACCTGATTTCCAATTAGAACCTCCCAAACTGCCAGCCAAGGTTAATGTTGTTTTTTTTTTTAAATAAGTTAATTATCTCAGATATTTTGTTTTAATGATGGAATATCCCACAGCAGCACTAAATCATCATCTAATATTTCTAATTTTCGAGTGGACTTTCTCATTTACGAGTGGACTTTGTGCTAAGTGCTCTGAATATCTTATCCCACTGAATTCCACGGCTGTCCTATGAAATAGGCTCCGCTATATCCATACTGGAGCCAGAGGATAGTGAGAGTGAACTCAGTCAAACTGCCTGAATTTGATCCACCACCTCCTGGTGGACAGCTCTTCTACCAGTGCAAGCCCCACAGGCCCAGCTCAATGAAGAAGTCCATGCAAAGCCCCCCCACACACACACAGCCCCGCACACAGGAAGCACTGAGGTTCACCATTCTCACAATCTGACTCACAGGTAAATAGCCACAAGTCTTTGTTCAGCTGCAAACTTGGGATGTTCCTCAGTTAGAGATAAGAAAAGTTTTAAATCACCAACCTACACCTTTACCATCCTTGACCCCAATTTCCTCTTTTAGCAGTTGAGTCTTATTTCTCCAGTGTTCAACACCGACCTCTGAGCCTCTTACCTGTGCTTCAGCCGAAGTTTAACCCCTCCTGGCCACAATGTTTTCCTGTGCTGGAGGCCAGAGGTGAGGTGCTCTGGGCTGGAGGAGTTAGAGGCACCAGGATCCACATGGCCCGAGTCTGCAAACACATCTCTGTCAAAAATAAGAGAATAAGAAGCTGAGCATGACGGTATTCATGGGCAGAAGCACAAATTAACCTACCAATATAAATGCATTAAAATGGACCCTGGAGCCAGAGCTGGGCAACAGCTGAGTGCCGTTCCAAGCTGGCATCTAATAATTCTCTGCCCCCAAGAAGGCAAATCCACAACAGAAGGTCTTCTTTCTCTCCTGTCTATGTTTCTATAGCACAATAAAGTATATTTCCCATCTTAGAGAGCAGATCTTCTAAGCCAGGGAGAAGAAAGTTACATCAACTGTTATGAAGATAAACTGTCCTATAATTCAATGTTGATAAGTGAGTGAAAACTTAGACCCAGTGCGTTCCAATAATCCCAGCAATTCAAGAAGACAGAAGCAGGAGAATCACAAATTTGAGTCTCCACTGAACAACTTAGTGAGACTCTGTCTCGAAATATAAAATAAAAGGAACTGAGGGTGTGTGAAGTTCAGTGGTAAAGTGCCCTTGGGTTTAATCCAAGTCCAAGAAGAAAAAAAAACACCTTGGACTCACTGAAGCACACTGTCAAACAAAATGGGCCCCTGAAACCAAGAGACTGCTGCCTCAATTTCACTTTAAGGAGGGTGATCTCCAAGTGTAACAGCCTTTGCTTTATTCGGTGGGTGGCAGCTCAGAAGCACATGCCAATTCTTGAGCTTGAACTATTTCAGATTGTTTAGATTCCACTGTGCTCGGAGGCAAGGCTTTTGTGTGAATATTTGAATCCACCCTCCCACCCCCAGTGCCTAACACCATTCCCCTAAGTCCTTTCCTCCACACTCCCAGGGAGTCAGAGAAAAATTTTAAGCCCCACATCGCCAATGTGTTCCGCCATGGGAACAGGCGTACTGCTCCTCAGGATGGCCTCGGGTCCTGATTTTCCAAACACTCTTGATGCCTCCTCTTTATCAGACTGTCCCCTGCCTCAGCCTTTGAAGTGGGTTTTGTCATCATCTCAGTTTGCTGAGTACAGTGGTGTGTTTTCAATTTATGTCTTCAAGGATTTTTCTAAGCCTCCGAGATCCAACTGGTGAGGCTGCTCCTCCTCTGCATGTGCCTTGGCTGAGAGGGGAAGGGATTAGGGAACAGCTGTTAAGAGTAAGCCCTGTCCATCTGGCCTCATATTTCCTGGAACACAGAATGGAAGTCAAAGAGCTCTCTTTCTTAAATCCTAAGGCAAATAAAAAGGATCTCTTTTTATTTTAGGGCATGGAGATGATGACTAGGAGGTCAACAAGAAGTTTCCAATTCTAAGCTAAAGTTTGCCTCTTTACCCTAGTACTGTGGTTTGAGTGCACCCCCCAAGGACTCATGAGTTGCAGAGGTGGTGCTCAGCATGGTGGGAGGACCTTTAGGAGGTGGAGCCTAGTGGGAGGTTATTAGGTCATCCAGAGGCCAGTACCTGGAAGGGACTAAGGTAGTTCTCCAGAAAATGAGTTGTTATAAGAACAGGCCTGACCCCTGAAAAGTTCTCCAACTTCCTGTTTTGTGTTTTATGTTAACTCTTGCTTTCACATGCACTCTTGCCATGATATAATCCACCAGGATATGATACAAGAAAGAAGACCCTTGGAAGAGGGTCATCAATGGGCTTGCCTTATCTTAGTTTGGGCCCAGAACTGTGTATTAAATCACTCTTTTCTTTATAATGTTAGCCTACCTTGGGTATTTCATTATAGCAATGTAAAACTGACTTATACACTTAGTCGTGAGTGCTACACCTCCTTTTGTGCTTTATTTTCTCATCAAGTTTAGGATTCTTGGCTTTAACATAGTCAATATAATTCTAGACTTAAAATCTGAAGACTTGGTTAAGATTATGTCACTTATGACCTAAATTACATTGGGCAAGTAAACTCAGAGCCTCAGGCTCCTCATCTGTAGTAACATAAAAAATAAGAGACTGTGTGCACAATGATTGGAGGCATGGCTCTAGAGTTTGTCTAGCTCTATGATTCTGTCCTCTCTATGCTTTGGATCTTTTATCTATGACATTGGTACAAAGGAATATCTTCTTTCATAGGGTTGTTGAGAAACAAATAATTCCATCAAACATTTACATCAGAGCCTGACACATTAAGCCCTCAGTAAATTAGCCATTATTACTATACCTGTCTTGCTATAAAATTTCTAGATAATATATTTTAACTCTCTAGCATACTGCCCACACATGGTCTGTGCTTAATAAACTTTTTTCATTATTGTCTTACCATAGTATCTTCATTTTAGAGCTCTGTTTAACTAAGATGTTATGTAAAATGGTTTACCTAAAAATCCCTAATTTATTCTAGGAAGATTAGAAAAGCTTTAGACAACAATACCTTTTGCAGAATTTATTCTGTAGTCCTCAACCAGGAATTCTCACACAATCCACCCAGGTACCAACCCCAATAGCCACTTGGCTTAAATTGAGGGAGAAAGTAAATTTAAAGATCTCTCACCACCCATAATGTCTGAATGTAAAGAACATAAGAATGTAAACAGTGTACTCTAAGGACCAACCCCTACCAGCAAGGTGAAGGGTTTTCCTTTCCAAGTCTAATGCCCTTTATTGGGAGAAAACAATCAGGGCCTAGAATGAGCTATCACAGGGCCTTTGTGGTATTTGATAACTTCCTCATTTTTTGTCTAAACCACAATTGTTGACTCTGTCCTTTCTGCACAATAGCTTAAGCCTCCCACTTCACCTTCCAGGGATGCACCCACAGACAGAGGTCTAGGGGTTCTGGCTGTCACAGTGAAGGTCTGGCAGGAAGAGCAGACACATGGGTAAGGGATGAGAGCAAGAAGAACACAAAATTGTCCCATCTTTTAAAGGATTTTCAACACATGATTTGTCTCCACCCCCAGCAGTGCCTCCCACTCCCAAAGTCATAGAGTGCTATGGCTATTGACTACAGAGGACCAGCTCATGTGGGCACCTGGGGGTGTGTGGGGGGGTGAGAGTCATGGAATCCACTTGATTGCAACCCCCAGGCTAAGTCATAGCAGCCTCCCTCATTATCAGGCCTGAGATAGGCTGGTTCTGAAGCCAGACAGAGGACCAAGAATCAGGGTATGCAACTTGGAAGATGCATCTCACAAAGGAAGCATCAGGCTGGAGAGAGCACTGGAAGAATCACCAGTATCCAGAGCACATTTATTCTACCTTAAACTCTTTTGGAATATCTGGATGACAAATAAACATGTTTAAATTTATATGTTCTAGTGAAAAGAAATCCTGTAATGAATTAGGGTAGGAGATGGTCTTGCATTCACTGTGCCCTTCTCTCCCCCTGCCTTATCTTGTACAGGAACATCCATCAGCATATGAAACTCCAATTCCCCACCCACTGCAGGTTGCTATGTTAACTCCCTGCCTCAGGGCAGGCTGGAAATGACAGTCTGCAGGGTGTTGATCTCATCAAGGAAGGGTGTCCCAATGGTGCCTCAGGCAGACTGTTCCCCACCTTCCTCACAAATGGATATGTGTGCCCTCCCGAGTCCTAGAACTTCTTTAAGAAGGAGAGAATGAATGAGGTTGGGGGTATGGGTAATACTGGGGATTGAAGTCCAGGTGCTTTACCTACCACTGAGCTACATCCCCATTCCTTTTTATTTTTTATTTTGAGACAAGGTCTCACTAACTTGCTAAGGCTGGCCTCAAACTTGTGATCCTCCTGCCTTAGCCTCCTGAATTGCTACAGTTACAGGTCTGCACCACTGCTCCCAGCTGAATGACATCTTTTTTTAAAGATCAATTTTCCAGACAAACTGAGATATAGAGATTTTGTATCTTGGCTTAAAGGACACATGAATTCACACTTGGGACTAAAAACACTGAAAACCACTCCTCTTCTTTCAGGTTAGCAGTTTCAAAAATTTTCAGTTTATGCCATAAATTCTGTAGGCCTTAGAATTAATCGCTAACCCAGATCTGGTGGTGATGGGGCCATTCACTAAACATATTACCAAATGAGCTTTAAAATATACCCTACAGAAACCTTAGAATCAATAAAATCACTTCTAATAAAAATTGCTGGAATAAAACATAAGGTTTCCAGCGCTGCTGGGCCACTTCCAGGTCACTGAAGATACTGCCCTTCCCTGGCCAGCCACACTGCCCCTCAGGTTTCAGCTGGGACATCATTTCCTCTGTAGAGCCTTTCACTGACTAAGCAGCCACCTCACCTGCCTCGCTGCAAGGTGCTCACACCAAAGTGCGATTTACACTGTCTTCTACTTCTCTGCTTGCAGGTCCCTCCTCCCCTCCTCAACAAAGACAGGTATGCCAGTGTGGTGCCTGGCAGAGAGAGAGGCTCAGACAATATTTGTTGAATGAATGAAGTACCATTAAATGCTCAACAGATCTGTGATCTTTCTTCCTTCATATCTCCTTTTAACCCGCTAGGTCCCAAGCTTTCAATTCTGTAAACGTAGTAATTATTTCAAAGTTATCCATAAGTTACAGGTCTATGTCTTGATTGATTTAAGTTTTTGTAAGTGTCCCACATCTGGGATGATAGGACAAACATTTTACCAACAATTTACAACCTGTTGGTAAAACAAATGAGAATTTTCTTAGGGCTATTTTATGTTGTCTCTTGTGGTCTCCTGTCTCAATACCATGGTATCACAATTACGTGGGATGAACTAGGAACCTATGCTGCCCTCAGGAGGGTTAGTAGGGCTTAAAAAAAAAATCATTATGATCTACAATCACAAGGATCCATTGCATCATCTTTCTTTCCCCCAGATAATTAAGAAACAAGAAATTCAGGTCAACCACCTACATATTTCCATTTCTGATAATAAGTACATCCCCCCCCCCCAATATTCATAACTCCTGAATATACACTGACTGCCTTACTAGGTGGTATTGTTTTGCTTTGTATTTTTTTGTGTGTGTGTGTGTGTGTGTGGTGCTGGGGATTGAACCCAGGCCTTGTGCATGTAAGGCAAGCACTCTACCAACTGAGCCATATCCCCAACT